GTCAAAACAGGGGGGTTGTGTTGCCAGACAGATGTCATCAGCATTTATAAACTTTCAGGATTTGGTTTTTGGGAGGTCAATTATGTGCAGATTGAACAGGGTAGGAACCGATACCAATCCTTGGGGGAGTCTGTGTGTCTGTTGCTTCCATGAACTTGTTCCCTGTCCCAGGTGAACCCTGAATTGCATATTGCTCAACAGTGTTAAATTTATTGGGTAGCCCAGGATGAAAGCTCCCACAACAGCTTCAGTAGAAGAACAGCAGCCGTATCACCTTCCGGCAGTACACCATTGGCAGTCCACTGAAGCTCTGCAGGTGTGCATCTGGCCAGTACCTGGAGAGGAAACTAAGGTTGCTGCCGAAAGAGGTGTTAGAGGGGCCAGCAGGGGGATTAGTATAGTGTATACAGTATAGTGACGGGGACACTGTACTGTAAAAGGTGCGGTCCTTCCGATGACACGTAAAACCAAGATCCTGACACTCTGTGGTCATCCTGGCCAAATTTCCCATTGGCCCTTACCAATCATGGCCTCCTAATAATCCCAATTTATGAACTGGCTTCATCAATTTGTTCTCCTCCTCACTGATAACTGATGTGTGGTGAGCATACTGTTGCACTACGGGTGCCTTTGCATCATCCATTTGGGGCTGCACATTGGTGGTGGTGGAGGGGATCCCCATCACCTGTAAAGCGCTTTGAATGGAGTGTCCAAAAAAGCGCTATATAAGTATAAGGAATTAATTAACAGTGTTCCAGAGTGTGTCATAGGATTCCAGGAGCTTATGGAACACAGCACCTGTCTTCAGGTTTTTCTGAACATCATTTTCAGTGAAGATGAGAGCGTGAACCAGCATGGTCCACACTGAGAACTTCTTCAACAGCTGGTGTTGTGCGATGGAGGATGAGGCTCTCAAGGAGGGCTCTGAGATGAGGGAAATCAGGTCTTTTACAGAAAATTGGGGTCTTTTACAGATTTAGGTGTGGCAATGACCCTAGCTCTCCATCATATCTTTGGGATGGTGCTTTAGTTCATGACCGGTGTGTAGAACTGGGTCAACCAGACATGAGCTCGGGGCCCCAGGTGTCCTGTAAAGTCTGGCATGATGTTGTTGCAATCTGCTTCCTCGCCGCACTTCAAGGGTCCATTATCAGACCCACCCAAGATGTGAAACTATGACTTTCCAATGATGTGTCCAAAACCCTGAAATGATATTCTTATATGTTTATTTACTTATATTTAATGGCAAATGAAAATTGTTAAACATCATGAGAAGAAGTGGAATTTTAATTGACATTACCAGAAGAAATTGAAAACAGAAATCCTATATACTGTAGATGCAGAGTGATGATCGTCAGTGGCTCACAGAAGGCACAAAGAACAAGAACTTCAGTCCAGTTATTTGATGTTAAAAGATGTCTTTAAACTATCCAGGGCTTTTTGCTGGGTAATACTTCTCCAGTCTGGTGGGAAATCAGCTGGAACCACATTATACCACTCTGCAAATAACTCATTGTATTGCACCAACACATACTTCCAGTAGTCTGAGGCTTCTATGCTGATATCTGGGGGAATATTCCAGTCTGGGTAAACAGCCTTGTAATCTTTAAATGGGTGAGGTTTCTCTTGTGTGTCAATGTTCTCAAATGTGTGTTCACTGCATATCTCAGATGTGCAAATTGTCTCCACCAGTTTGTTATTAAAGACATATTTACTGTAGCCAAGGCCTTGAGGTCGATGTACCAAGGCATAGTGTTCTCTGTGATCTCTTCCCCCAGCCTCACAGGGAACCTTACAGAAGGGGCACTGTTCCCCACAGCCAAACACCCTTTTAAACAGTTCATCCTGGGGTCTCACAGGGAGGTTCACCAGGGTCCCTTTAATATCTGATATTTCAGAGAATTCTGCTTGTAGCCTTGCCTTCAATTCCTTCACAGAAGCTAAGAGACACTGTGCAAAGAGATCGCACTTGGTTGGGGTGTGAAGCTGTAATCTTCTTATGGCATCCAGTGGAATGACTATGTCTGTGCCCAGGGCCCTGCACACACGCTGAAGAAACTCTGCAGGGTTTTCACTGTAGTTTGATGGAAGATGGTTTCTTGCCATTTCTATAGCCCTTTCAACCTTTGCCATTATGTTCTCAAGGCATTTTACTTTCAAACCAACAACAGAAGCTTCTTTTGAAAAATGTTCCATGATGTGATTAAATATCCAGTCCTTGACATAAGTCTCATATGTTAGAATATAAGAAACATAATCATGAAAGTTATTCTTCTCCAACAGCTCTTTCAGAATGGTGAACTGAAAGAAGTACCGTGAACTGTAATGCACAGACTGGCTGCTGGCTAAGATCTCATCCACAAGTTCAATCCCCAGAGCCTTCCTGATGGACTCTACCACTGCAGGTCTGAGGCACAGATCAGTGAAGTCTTGAGCTGTCTTTTGATCCTGATCCTTCTTGTTGTACAGGTCCTGGAAATCTGAACAGTACTGAGCTTTGAACTTCTCAAGGTGTCTGCGAGGATCTTTTTCTCTGAGGAAGTTCTCATGCATCTGATGGAAGGCCTGGGCAGCAAAGCCACAAATGCAGAGTTTTAGGTCTACCTCAAACTTGGAGTTCGTTGGAAGATGTGTGTTTTTTTTCAAGAATTCATCAATATTTTGTAACAACTCTTGGATGTATATCTCATTGAAATCCATCAGTTTGTGTGTTTTTTCTAAAACAAATTGCTCGCAGTCCTTAAAGATAGCGTCTGCAACTTTTTGTACTTGTGCTTTTTTATCATTTTTAAGAAACACTTTCCGAATTTTTTCCCTCTTTTTTAAATGTCTGCCACGAGCTTCAAAATTTTTGTGTCCATATTCTACTAAATTTTCAATCTTGTTCAGTTCCTCATTAACTGAACTTCCACGTCTGTCTAAATTGTGTCTCAGCTGGTGAAGCACAATTGAATGAATATCTTTTCGTTCCAGACCTCGAAAATTCAGCTTAGATACTGTGTCATTCCACATCTTTTCAAACTCTTCTTTGAGCTGCTGGTTGCTCAGAGGTATATTTCTGTTCTTGCAATGCTCCAACAACTGTAATACCTTCTGTTCAACCAGGGCTGTATGCTCATGATGAATCTCTTTCACCTTTGTCATTCCCTTTGAAAGCTCAACAGCATTTTCCAACTTGTTATTCAAAGAATGCTCTACTTCTTTTCGAAGACATTTGATGCTGTTTAAAAAGTCAGCCTTGTACTTCTCTACCAGAGGGATGTGTCTTTCTTTTCTTCCGTAATATTTCTTTAGTTTATCCATCATCATCTTTTCTTCAGATGTCAGTTCTGAAGATGCCTCCATTTTCAAATGTCTCAGCAATACTTCCAAACTGCTAATCTCATCAGAACTTCCATCCAACTGAAAGTTAGAAATATGATCCTCTGCATTGGCCAACCAAGAGTACATATGCTTTCGAAAAGACCATTCCCAGTTTGAAAATTCAATACACAGGTTGTTATAAGCATCTGCCACCAGTGTGTTTCTGAAGCTGAAAATGAAATTCTCATATTTCACAGCTTTCCACAAGCTACTCATCCACAGCAGGAACTCTGGTATCTGGGAGGGAGGTTTCTCATCTTTGCAGCTTTTTAGAACTCCAAACAGGTTCTGTTTGAACTCATACACAGCTTCACTGTACCCTGTGTTGACTGGTGCCATTGGGGGGGTGCCATGCCAGAGCCCTGGGATGTACCAGTTATTCTTATCAGCATCATAATCCAACACATCAGTGAATTTTTTTACTGTAGGCTGCTTCTCCATAGCAGCTGCTATCTGTGTCATCTCATTCAGCAGTTCAAGGAGTTGCTTCCTTTCTGTGATGTTCTTCTTGTGTGCTGACACTCCAGGCACATTCTGGTGCACGAATTGGCACTTGGGCTTTTTGCCTACCTCTGACATCCTGAGGAAGGCATGTACCACAATCTGCAGGATGTCCTTCATTTCAGTAGAGTTCTCCATGGCAATGTTAATAATGGTGACATCACTGAGGCCTGTCACCAGTGTGGCCAGTTCATTGTCGTGCTCATGGCTGTCTTCCAGCTGAGCCAGCTCTGGGGACTTCAGGCCCTCTGTGTCGATCAACAGTACGAAATCACAACCCAGCTCCTCTTTTAGCTCCTCTTTTACTCTGAGGAACAGCATAAAGGCACCCCTGGTGCACCTGCCACTGCTGACAGAGAAGTTGGCCCCAAACATGGTGTTCAATAACGTGGATTTGCCCGTACTCTGGACCCCAAGCACAGCTACCACTAAAAGCCGGCTACATTCACCAACCTTCTTGTGGAGCTGCATCAGAACATCACTCACCCACCTCACTGGGATGTTGGATGCATCTCCATCCACAAGCTCCAGTGGGAAGCCATCTAGAAGGAGGTCAGCAGCCAGACTAGGGAGATGGAGTACTTGTGGAGATTTAGTTTCTGAGCCACAAAGGGAAGCCTCATAGATCTGGCCCATCTCCCTCATGTAATGCTCAATCCCCAGAGAGCTGTCAAGGAGTTGTTGGTCCAACTCTGCAATGGCTTTCCTGTCTTGGGCTGCACTGTTGCACTGCTCATTGTATCTGTGGCGCAGGACAGAAATGCGTTTGCGCGAAGTCATATCCAGCTTAATCCTCAGCCACTTCAGAAAGAAGATTCTCTCTGTTCTGTCTGGGGCTGACACAGCATCAATGAAGCTCCACATTGGTCTTGTCACTTTGTACTTGCTCTGGTCTTCTCTAATGCGCTGTTTCTCATCCTTTAACTGAGATTTATACTCCTCCAATCTCTGGTCTCCCGAGTTCTTGAGTCTGCACTCCTCTTTCTCCAGTTTTGCCAGTCTCCTCCATAGCTCACCTTGAAGAGGCAAATATTTTGCCTTGTACTCTGTTATAACACGCACCCCAATCCCTTTGATGATTTCTTCAGCTCTTGTTTTTGCAATGCTGCATGATACACTATCATGAACTTCATCAAGTGAGATGCCCAAGTCCTGTGCTTTAGCTGATATGCTTTGCAAATTAAATCTTTTGCAGTTACTTTGCATGACTCTTTTAATGGCTGCACTTAGCATATTAGCAAACTTGGCTTCATTCACTCTTTGTGTTTTAATTAACATATTTTTTGGTTCTAATTTAAGTGCTTTCACTATATTTGTTATTGCATCAGAATCCATCTTATTCTTCACTCCTTCAGAATTAATCACCAGAAACAGCTCAGTTGAGATAGTATTTAAAGATGCCATGAAATTGTACTCCGCCTCCTGCATTCTGTCCAAAAAAACAAAAACAGCTGATGATGTTTGCATAAGAAAGGTGAACTGTGTTTGAAAGCTACAGATATCACCTCGCAAGTTGGTGATGGCCACAGGACCTGGGAAGATGTCAAGGTTTTTGTTCCCACAAGGGAGGTACCAGAAGATCTCCACCAAGCCACTGGAGACTGTCCTGGGAATGTCCCCACACTCCATGCCCCTGTGCATGAAGAAGTTGTGGAACTGCTGAGGATTGCTGAACACTTGATTGAGAACCTGCGACTTGGAGAAACTGCAGTCTCTCAGCCTGACGAAAGAGATGAGAGGCATCTCAGCATGGACAATGTTGTCTTCTTCAAACCCCCTAGTTTCAGCCAAATAATGGGGTCTCCACTCCTTCAGGATATCCTGTAGGGCCCACAGCATTAAGGTACACTGGTTACCATGACCTTTAGGCAACAGGAGAGGCAAAGCAAACTGACACATGGACATCTTCAGCATCATCTCCTGACGGAAGAAGCTGTCTGCACAGAGGAAGAGAGCTGTGATGACGTCCAGAGGATTCACAAGATTTTCATCAGCACTCTCTTCATTGTAGAGGTTGACAATGCTCTTCATGCTCTCAAAATTCTCCACTATCTTCTGTATGTCTGCTTCCTCATTGTTGAATGAAATACATCTTGCATCTGCATTGATCATCATTAACCTCTTCAGAAAGAGCCATGGCAGAGTCCTGAGTGAAGGCATTTGTTCATCGGTTATGCTTTCTCGGCTGATCTCCAACATAGAACTGAGAGTCAGCTTGCCTGGATAGAGTTGTTCCAGTCCCAACTTGCACAACAGTTCCTCCAGACAATCCACTACAATTTGAAGAAGAGAATAATAAATCCACATTCATATTCACCAAGTCTCACACTATAAATACCATTTGAAGTTACCCAGTGCAAACTCTAAACAGATGGATGTAATGTTTTTTTAGAAACAATGAACACCTAACAGACATAAACTGCACATCTTTTCCAGCAAGGGGCTTTTATACAGTATTTGTATTTCTCTAAATTTCAGCTTGCCATTTAAAAGCTTTTTTACATTCTCAGAGCTTATCAAGTGTGCTGTCTACAAATGCTATATATACAGTTTATTATTTGCTTTTATTGTGTCATCATACATCCAAACAGTTGTACATGTTACTAAAGGTTCAAGTGAGGAACTGTGTCAGTGCAGCACACACGCAGAAGACCTTAACATTGTTTCATTTCTTTCCACTGTTCAGTGTAGAATTAACCTTAATTAATTTCCGAGGAACAAATATAAAATGTAGGCTTAAAAAGATTTAGTCTTTACGTTTAGTTCCATTACTTGCTGTGGTCGATTATTCCTACTTTTCGTTCTCACCCAGTTTTATTGTGGCCTCTTCCACATTTGCCTGGGTCGGGGTTTCCTCTACACACTAATATACCTGTACAAGGTATACAGTACTTGAGGGTGGGGTGCCTTAAAGGGGATCTTTAAAATAGGCTTGGCCAGGAATACTGGCCAGCTGTAAAGTAAAAACAAACTTTGCTTTTTTTTAACACTGCAGGAATCATAATATAAAATAGAAACCAAAAGAAAAGTGAAATTAACTTTTTTGGGCTACTGACAGACTTCCTCATTACCTCCCAAAAAACAACCTGGCACCTAAGCTGTATACTGGCTGGTGGTGTGGTGGCTTTGTGGCTGGAAGGTTGCTGGTTCAGGTCCAGCAGCTGGCAGAGGAATCATACTCTGTTGGGCCCCTGAGCAAAACCCTTAACCCCAACTGCTCAAGGTGTGCCATAGAAATGGCTGACCCTGCACTCTGACCCCAAGCTTCTCTCCCTGTCTGTGTGTCTCATGGAGAGTAATATGATATATAATAATATGCAAAAATGCCTAATACAAGAAATTGTATTTGGCCAATAAAGTGATCTTATCTTATCTACAAACTATAGATGTGTCTTTCAGCTCTCAGTAAGGTTCAGACAAGATGGATTTCCTTGTCTGAACTACATTTCCCGGAGTGCTGAGAGGAATTAGCTGCAAACCTCAGTCACCGGATCTGTTACTGGAAGACAGCTGGTGAGGATATACTGTAGTTTAAAGAACAGGAAGGAGATACTTCCAGAGTTGGTCTATCTGCTGCCTGGGTACAAAGGGTAGATTCTCTGCTTGAAAATTCATGAAAGGGTGTATTAAGTGACAAACCTTGAAACTTTGGAGTCTGTAAGTTGTGGGAACTTTGGAAGAGTTTTATGATAGTCCTAGAGAGAGTATTGTGTTTAAGAATAGTTTAAGAAGCCAGTATACAGCTTAGCTGCCTGATTGTTTTTTGGGAGGTAATGAGGAAGTCGGTCAGTAGATCGAAAAAATAATTTTGGCTTTTGGTTTCTATTTTATATTATGATTCCTGCTGTGTAAATAAAAAAGCAAAGTTTGTTTTTACCTTACAGATGTGTTTGTTTGTATTCCTGGCCATGCCTATTTTAAAGATCCCCTTTAAAGCACCTTTTTTAGCCTAAATTTTATATTTGTTCCTCAAAAATTAAATGCCTCACAAATTAGATTACAGTACTAAAGTACTGCTCTGTCACTAAATTCAGTCTGAAGCCACAGAAGAAGCTGATACAGAGCAAACATATCACTTAGAACTGTTACAAATTCATGGTTATCAGGGGGATGACAATCTTTTAGGATGATAATTTATATTTTATTTAGACTTGACCTAAGTGAAGGCATTATACTGATTATCATTTGACATCAACATAGTTCATCAGAAGAAGACATCTACTGTGAAAGTCACAAGCTAGCAGCATGTGTGGTTCTTGACGGGAGTGTTACAAGCTGCAGTGCGTTCTCTGCATCAGGTTGCAGATGTTGTCTTGTAGGAACTACAGGACCTTGTGTTTCTGATGGAGTGGAACTGGCATTGTGAAAACAATCACAAAACAGACTAATGATATATTGATGAAATGATAATGATATATTTTTTATAAAGCATACTTTCATCATTAGAGTGATATGTTTCTTTTGATCCAAAGTATACTATAGAAAAAATATTTTTGCAATCATTTTCCACAGTAACATTCAATGCAGAAAATGAACAGTTTGCGAAAGTGTTTCAAATATGTGTGTCCAAAACATATATGAAAATATGTTTATACTGTTTTTAAAACTGTTATTTTAGACATTTCAATATCTATTTCTCAACAAATTTTATAGTCGTAGGTAGCTGTGTCAGCATGCATAGGCTACAAAGAAACAAGTAAAAGTTTATTTTATTCTGTA